AAATTATGATTATATGTTTTATAATCTTATGAATGTATATGTATATATGATTAGATGTAAATGGTATTAAGTTAATGTAACATCCCAAAAATACGGTCCACAAATTCCGTTTTAAAATCAATATTTAAACCACAAAATCATCCATCGTCATAATAAAACAAGAACCATGTATCTCAAAAACATCATGTCAAATACTGTATCAAAATCATATAGGTAATCATCAGAGTCTAAAACAAATCAAATCCCAGGCTGGAACTGTGGTGTGTGCCATGCGATCATCCCAAGCCCTTCCCTTTGCTAGTGGAAGTACCTGAAACCAAAACTGAAACTGTAAGCACAAAGCTTAGTGAGTCTCCCCAATCTACCACATAGTATACATATAATCACATATTGGGCCTAGCCCACTGCATCGGGCCCCGCTCGGCATCGGACAGAGGTCCGACATACTTGGGCCTAGCCCCTGCATCGGGCCCCGCCGGGCATCAGACCGAAGTCCGGTATACATATCATGAGCATAACATAATCGTATATATAAACATAAGTGTAACAAGAAAGCTAACATTCCTCGGGCTTGCCCTGACATCGGACCATGTCCGGAACACCTAATCACACTCATGCAAGAATCACGAAGACATCAAGCATACTAACTGCATCGGGCCCCGCCCGACATCAGACCGAGGTCTGGAACATAAAACCTACATCGGGCTAACCCCGACACATACAATCACACATAAACGGGCCGGCCTGGGTGCCTTAGACCCGTTCCTATGGGAGAAAACTCACCTCGCAAGACTGACTGCTGAAAACTCGAGCGAGAAATCCCTGTTTGCTGCTCCGGCGACTCTCCGGCTATTAATTCCATAATAACACTTAATCAAAATCTGCTAATCCTCTCTTAGGGTAAAATGACCATTTTACCCCTGGTCAAAGTCAAAGTCAAAGTCAAGATCAACTCCCAGTCAACCCAACTCGTCGAGTTATCTCCTAACTCGGCGAGTTCCTGAACGCTTAAACCCGTGGTCAACTGAGTCAACTCGTCGAGTCCCTTAACAGAATCGTCGAGTTCTTGTTGTCATAAAATCGGGACAACACGATACGACTCGTCGAGTTCCGCTATGGACTCGACGAGTCCTTCGGTCTGTTTGGCCATCTTAACAGATTAAGCCCCTAATTCCTAGATTTAAGGTTCTTAGCTCGATTGTCCACTGGAAAGGCCCTCCTAAGGGTAAAGTTTCCAACTTTACCCATTCATAGCTCTTCTAAAAGGGTTTAGACAAAACCCTAATTTCTATAAAACATGAATCTTGTCCAAAAGGCCATATAATCTCAAATCCACACATACAAACCCAGATCTAAGGTCTTAGCATCAGTTGGACACATAAAGCTTCGAATTTTCCTTCCATGCATGATCTTTTAGGGCTAAAAAGACCATAAACTTGCTCATATGCTTGCATGGGGCTTCCATGGTCATAAAGTTTGCACCTTTATGCCATAAAACCCTTTCTAGATCCTAGATCTGAGATATAAGTCACTTAGGACGTCCCAACCCCAAGGACTAAGGTTCTTGACCCAAAACTTTCATAATATGGGGTTAACTAGATCTAAGAGAAGAATGATCAACTTGGAAGCTTGATTACCAGAAAATGTAGTAAATGAAGTGTAGTTCCTGGATCTACTCCTTCCCTCTTGAGTCTTCAATCTTCTACTTCTTCTACAAGCTTCACAATGCACAAAAACACTCAAAAATGGCAAGAACTAGCTCAAGATCACTTATGGCGGATTAGGGTTTCGATAATAGGGTTTGGAGGTGATGGAGGTTGGGGTGGAGGCCAGATATGATGTTTAAATAGGGTGCAAACCCTGAAAATTAGGGTTTCCTCCTGATGGACCTACTCGCCGAGTCCAGACTCGGACTCGTCGATTAGACCATTTAAATCCCGCGACCAAGCTGGCACCTACTCGACGAGTCAGGGCTACCAACTCGTCGAGTAGCTCTTACAAAAATAATATTTTAATAAATTAAATGTGTACCAGGAACGGGGCGTTACAGTTAAATACCTACAAAATACTAGATGAAGATAGAGTATGATTATATGAATTATAATCATATGGATGATTATGTATGTAAGAGTAGATCTTAATGGTATTATGTTAAATACCTACATGTTATTAGATGAAGATTTAGCTTAAGTACTTAATGAATTAAGTACTGGGTTAATAGTAGAAGATTTATTAATCAAATGATGTGAGAGAAAGTTATGTGACAAGTGATATGTAAGACTATGGCAAGACCATAACATTCACATGAAAGATTATGAGAATGTAAAAAGATGATTCCTCCGGGAATGTAGAAAGATGGTTCCTTCAAGAATGTAGAAAGATGGTTCATTCGGGAATATTGGGAATGTAAAAAGATGATTCCTTCGAGAATGAGATTATGTGTGTTTGAAGAAGATTGAGAAAGGTTTCCATGAATGGAACAAGGTAAGAGGTTTCTTCTAAAGAGCCTTGATAAGTAATACGTGAGGGATTATGGGTAAAGAATTTGTAAGGGATCATTGTAATCCACGGGCAATTCAAGAAAGAAAAGTTGTCAAAGGATCTGCAAGGGATCGAGGTGAGAAGACTAAGTCCGGATGATTGTAAACCGATAGGTCAGAACTATGTTGTCCCACTAGTTGATAGGTGAAGCTATCATATGTGATTAGACCGGTTGGTTCTAAATAAGAATAGAATGGAAAAGCGTGAGAAGATGAGAGTAGAGAGGCAGATTGTGAAAAGAGATGCAAGTAAAGTATGAGAAGAGGTGAGGAGATGCGATGCGGATAGAGTAGGAGTATGGGAAGAGGTGAAGATAGAGTATGGGAAAAGTATGAGATAAGATGAGAAGAGGTACATATAGAGCAAGAGAAGAGTATGAGATGAAATGAAGATAAAGTAAGAGTTTGAGAAGAGGTAAAGATAGAGTAAGAGTATAAGATGAGATGAGAAAGGGTGCAAATAAAGTAAGAGAAGAGTATGAGATGAGATAAATATAGAGTAAGAGTATAAGAAGAGGTAAAGAGTAAGAGTATGAGATGAGATGAGAAGAGACGCATAAAGAGTATGAGATGAGATGAAGATAGAGTAAGAGTATGAGAAGAGGTAAAGATGGAGTAAGAGTATGAGATTAATATGAGAAGAGGTAAGAATAAAGTAGAGTATGAAAAGATGAGAATATAAGAGAAGAATGCGAGAATATGAGACTAGAGTGAAAGAGTATGAGAAAAAGATGTTAGAATGACAGAGTGTGAGTAGAACAGAACAAAATTGTAGAGTATGAAAAGAAAGAAAGTAGAGAAGAAGAGTATGATGACATAAAAACAGAGTATTTTATAACTCACAAGACTTGTTGTCTGATGTTGTAGATTTTCATGTGTTGCAGGTTCAGGTAGTAGTTGTTGTATGGGAGGAGATAGAAGCACTAAGGACTTGTACTAGATATAGTTTTTTATTTGGTACTTCCTTGTTGCTTTAAATTATGGTTATGATATGTTATAAACCCAATAATATCCTATAATGTAAAATATTTTTGAAATTTAGAATTCCACATTTGTATAGAAAAACTTTTGATAAATCTTCATAATATTAGTTGAGAAAAATTGAGTTCTTTACATATTATGTACATATTAAGAGGATGCATAATGGAGAGTTTAGTAGGAGAGTTGAGTAAGGTGGCAAACTTACTCGTCATTTAATGGATTCAACTCTACCATTATGAGATGTCATATTGATATTCAATAAGTTTGGAGTTCAATAGTCATTGAATCTTTCAATGGAGAAAAGGAAAGTTTTCTATTACATAAATAAATATTTAAACATGTTCCATTGAATTTTATAGAGTTCAATACATTATAGAAAAACAAATTGATGGAATTATATAAAATATACAAAGATGACGTGCCAATCCATTAAACTTTATTTATATATTAACTATTAGGCTAAAGGGAGTGGGGGCGCCAAGCCCACTCGCCAAAAGCTTGGCATGAACAAAACATCACCCCCTTCACCATGTTAAGCAATGTGCTAAGAAGAGCTCGCCAGTTCACTAGCGAGAAGAGAGAGAAGAAAAGATTATTTGCAATTGGCTGTCATTGGCCCTTTTGTATTTGCTTTCTTTTTTTATTTTATTTTTTTCTAAAATCAGAAGGCTGTGATTGGTCATCTTTTATTTGGATTTTTGTTTTAATTTTTTTCTTAAAATTCAAGTGTATATATTTTCTATGACAAAAGATTAGGTGGAAAAAAATATGATGTGGCATGTCTTAGCATCTCTTTAGCATGTCTTAGCATCTCTTTAGCATGCGCCACCACTCCCTTTAGTCTTACTCATTTAACAATAGAATATCTTGGTAAGAACCATATATTATCATGTATTTTTATAGGATATTGACAATGATCATTAAATGGTTAAGATTTCCTTATAAGAATATTAGACGTGTTTATCCTACTAGTTGATATCCTTAGAATGATGGAAGCAGTTGATGCATTTTTTTGGATAGATTAATGAATATAACCTCATTTAGAAATATGTACAATAACCATGCTTTTAAACATATTGATGTAAAAGCTAAAATCATACATGAATATTAATTACACTGATGTGTAAATTTATAAAGGGCAACAGATGAAAAACTATATGAATGGTTATATAAAGATAACATTATGTTTGCCCACTATATATTAATTTAATTAACATTACATAATCCCTATGAGGTTGGGTTTGTCATGTAAATGAGCTAGAACTGTCCAGGTGTTCATTGAAATATTGCAAGTAGACTTCCATTTAATTTTCCGTTTCAAAAAAATATATATTTATTTAATAAAAGAATATGCATGTCATGTAACTTGGGCTACAACGTACATGTAATTTTTTCCAAAATAAACGAAAAATTAATGGCAAATATCCATCCATCCATTCAGCTAGTAATGTTTTAGATAATGCCGGTATTGCTGCTTAATTATGGGAAGAATGGTGTCCCAAGAGCTAGCAATGGAACCTTCCGGTGATTAGCGAGACCAAAAGTTTCATTCATATCTACGTCCTGTGGCCTAACTCCTTGTGGCAGAGCCCAATCGAACCTGTACAAAACATTAGCCAGAACCTTCTCATTGATGGCCATGGCAAATATCCTTCCAGGGCAACTCCTCCTTCCAGCACCAAATGTAAGCAACTCAAAATTGTGCCTCACGAAATCAATAGATGACTCCAAGAACCTCTCCGGCATAAACGTTTCAGGTTTATCCCACACTTTAGGATCCCTCATAATTGCATAAACATTGACGTATACCCTAGTTCCTTCTGCAATATCATACCCCATTACTTTGGCATCGTGTCTTGCAACTCGTGGTGGTAGAACTGGAAGGGGAGGATGGAGTCGTGTGGCTTCCATGATGACGCATTTTAGATACTTCATCTTCTCCACATCGTTGTCAGTTATGTCTTTCTTTCCGTTAAGGACTGCCCTTATCTCGGCCTGGACTTTCTCAAGGCAATCACGATGTAACAGAAGTTCAGTCATCGCCCATTCCAGTACGGATGATGATGTATCCGTACCAGCAACATACGCATCCTACATACAAAATAGGTCAAAACAAGTTTAGTGGCTGAGATTCATTCAATTGTCAATTTGTCATGTATATAAGATAAAACGGATTATAAAATTATCGACTAATATATTATACTCATATTTAGTCAATTATATAATCCGCCCTTTAAGCTTGTTTAATATAATATGCATTTCATGTGGATAAAGTATGTACTATAATTGACTAAAACTACCACAATTATAAAAATCAAGGAGTTAATTAAAAATCTTCAAAAAATTAATACACAGAAACCGGAACAAACTTAAATACATAGTTTAAAGTATATATAGCACTAAATATATATTACCGACAAGTTAATTATAGAGATTTAGAAAAACAGTATATGACTAAAATTTGAAATTTGTTTAACTTTCATTTTGAGATTCAACAAAATTTTTGTCTTTTAGGCTGGAGTGGAGACCTCTCAACGCGTGAACATCGACCCCATTAGTGGTGGGTTGGTTGTGACGTGAAGCCAAGGACGGACGAAGACGAAAGATGGGTTTGGCCGGGGCTTTTTGACCGTTGAAAAGCATTAAATAAAAAAAATGTTTTTTATTTTTACTTTATTCTCTCTGTATATACATCCATTTTTACACAAAATTTTCAAAACAAACATACAAACTCTTTCAAATCAAACACACACATTTAACAAAAAATGGATAGCAGTTCTGATGACGAGTTGGTTTTGCACAAACTATTGTCTGCGGCACAAGACATGATTCATGCGAGAGACGAAAGTTCACACCGCGATAAGAAACATAGAAAATGGATCAACCGGGATCGAGAGACGGCAAATGAACTTTTGGTACGTGATTATTTTGCCTCTGATAGTTTATATGACCTATCGAGATTTGAAGAACGTTTTCGTATTAGTAGAAATTTATTCTTACGTATAGCTAGAGATTTGGAACGTAATTATGAGTTTTTCCAATTACGATGGGATGCTAGAGGTAAACGTGGTTTTACTACAATACAAAAATGTACAGCCGCACTTAGACAATTGGCATATGGCATAACCGCAAACGCTTCATATGAGTATTTGAAAATGTCTGAGAGGACGGGTCGAGAATGTATATATCTTTTCTGTGAGTATGTTATAGAGCTTTACCGTGACATATACTTGCGACATCCGACTAAAAGTGATGTCGAACAGTTGTATGTCGCACATCAAGCTACACATGGTTTTCCAGGGATGTTTGGTAGTATTGATTGTACACATTGGGAGTGGGCAAATTGTCCCAATGTGTGGCGTGGTCAATTCACGCGAGGTGATCATGGGGTACCGACTGTTATATTAGAGGCGGTTGTTTCACAAGACTTATGGTTTTGGCATGCATTCTTTGGTATGGCGGGATCCAACAATGACCTGAATGTGCTTCAAGCGTCTCCGTTATTTAACAATATTTTGCAGGGTAAAGCACCAGACATGTCATACGTTTTGAATGGAAATGAATATAAGTATGAGTATTACCTAGCTGATGGGATATATCCAGAGTATGCTACTTTTGTCAAATCATATTCATTTACAACCGATGAAAAAAGAAAATTGTTCAAGTTAACACAGGAGTCTGCACGGAAGGATGTGGAACGAGCGTTTGGAGTCCTAAAATAAAAGTGGCACATAATCAAACATCCAACACGAACATGGGATAGGGCCAAACTGACCACGGTGTTGACTGCTTGTGTTATTTTACATAGCATGATAATAGAAGAAGAGAGCAGGACTATTTGTTCATATACCGGGAATGATATACTTAATCCACCTGCAGTAATACAAGTTGGCAACCCGGCATACTTCTCTAGAGTTTTGGAAATACAAAATCGTGAAACACATCACAATCTACGCCATGATTTGACCGAGCACATATAAGGAAGACAACTCCAAGGGTGAAATGGCGATGAAGACGAAGAGGATGAGGGCGATGATGGCGATGCGAATGCAGACGATGACGACGAGGCGGACGAGGTCGATGAGGATGGTGACGACGACAAGTAGTATTTGTCTATGGTTTTTGTGTTTTAAGTTTTTATGTTTTTTAATTAAGTAGTGTAATGTTTTATGTTTATATTAGTAATTTAGGTTTTAAATTTCTATGTTTTTAATTAATGAAATTTGGTTTTTTTTTTTTTTTTTTTTTTTTTTTTTTTTCAAAAAATTTATTTATGTTATAAATTATGTTTTTATTTAATATAATGTAACAACAAATAAAAAAATAAAAATATTTATTTACGTTATAAATTATGTTTTTATTTAATATAATGTTACAAAAAATAAAAAATGAAAATATTTATTTATGTTATAAATGATGTTTTTTATTTAATATAATGTTAGAAAAATAAAAAGAATAAAAAAAAGAATATTGTTAGTGGTAACCATTTCCTGTCTTTAGTGGGTGGTGGTGAAGATGATGTGGCGCAGAGGTGGCACCACTTTTTCGGTGGGTTGGTGGTGACCACTCCCCACAGCCTTTAAATGAGAGATTTAAGTGATTCTCTAAGATTTTAACACCTTAGGCCTTTAATGAATGTAAATTTGCTACATTGTCATTTCACAATTTTCCGTTTAATCAATGTAAATTTATTACATCATAGTCATTTTCACAATTTCATTTTAAATCAATGTAAATTTATTACATCATAACCAGCTATAACATTCTGTTTCGAATTGTTCCCATTTTGAATTGGTGATCAAAGGGTTGGGTATTATCAGGCTTCAGAACCTCGAGGAGTTGGGTTTTGGACCCAGTTGGAGTTAGATAATGTATCTTGGTTGCTCGGGTATTGAGTTGGAGTTTTTGGATCAAAGGGTATGAATTTATTTTGAAGTATTGCAAGGAACTCGACGAGTTGGGAGACTCCAACTCGTCGAGTAGAAAGCTTTCCAACCGCGTGGATTGGAGGACCTACTCGACGAGTTGGGGCTGGAAATGGAAACCCTAATTTTTGGGCATTGTACCCTATTTAAAGGACTTAAGTTCTAGGGATGGCCTCCTTACCAGCCTCCTTGCCCAGAAGAAACCCTAGATCGTTTTCCCCACTTGTTCATGGAGTTTTGAGAGCTTGAGAGTGATTCTTGAAGGAAATCTTGAAGAGAGAAGTATCAAGCTTGGAGGAGTGATCTTGGATCCAGAAACTCTACATCAAAGGCTACATCTTTGAGGTATAAAGTCATAACCTTGACATGTAGCTTAGTAGATCTCATCTCTTGTAGTTTTGGCTTGGTTTTGGGACTTTGACTTGAGTATCCAAAGAAAAGAGGTTTCCAGGGGTTGAGGATGTAGATCTGGCCCCTACATGACCCCTAGAGGATTAAAGTTGCAAACTTTAATAGCCTCCATGTCCCATTCATGAAATATGTCCATTATGAAGCCAAAAATGGACCTTAGAGAGTGTTATAAGCATGTATGGACGTAAAGTTGGAAACCTTACGTGATTAAACCACCTTAGGACCTCAGATTTGTGTTTTGGAACCCTTGGATTCAAGAAAAATGGCTTAATGCATTAAGTGGGTTGGCAGACTGAAGAACTCGACGAGGTGGTCTGGGGTTACCCCGATTCTGTTGGAAAACGGAGGAACTCGACGAGTTGTAGGAAAACTCGACGAGTTGGATCGCAATATCGCGATTATGACTTTGGGGTGGACTCGACGAGTTAAGTCAACTCGGAGCGTTGACTTTGACTTTGACTTTGACCAGAAGTTGACTAGGGTTGACCATTCAGTATTTAGGCCTTTTTGGTATTAGGTCTTCGCAGGTTAGGTCCATGAGGGATTTGGGCCTTATTGGGCCTTGTGAGCCATTTCGGTTTCAGGCTATCTTATGGGCTTGTAGTACATGGGCTTCGTGGGCCAATTGGAAACGGGGTTATAGACTATGGAAATTATTGGGCTTTAGGATAAGGCCCATTGAAAAGGTCTGGGCCCAATTTGGAAGATTGGGCCATAAGTGGGCCATTATTAGGCTTTTGATGATTATGGGATATTGGACCATCGGAATGTCAAGTGTTTGGACTAGAATGAATGTTTGGGCCTCATGGCAAAGACCCATGTAGAGGTTTGGGCCCAATTTTCCATTGGTTGATTAATTGGCCTTTGGGCCTTTCAGATTATAGTTTGGGCCAAAGTAATAGACATGGACAGGTAGGGGTAAAATGGTCTTTTACCCCGGGTATGAAGTTATAGTTATGGATTAGAACCCAATTCCTAATTGGGTGACATTTGATATTGGTAGCTCCGAGAAGTGGATAGGGCAGCAGCTAAGGATTTCTTTCAGGAAGCTTCTGCATTCGAGGTGAGTCTCCTCACCATACCAATGGGTCGAAGGCACCAAGGCTGGCCCATTATGTGTTATGTGGTATGCTAGCCGTTATGTGACATGTGGTATTCTAGTTGATTATGTGTTATGTGGTATGCTAGTTGTTATGTGATATGTGGTATGCTAGTTGATTATGTGTTATGTGGTATGGTAGTTGTCTCTGTGATACTTGCGTGGAAGACCCCGTGGGAGCCCGTGGCCTTGGATATCAAACCATGTAGGGGAGACCATGGCATTCCAGGTAAAGACCATGGGGGGAGCCCATGACACATAGGTATAAGACCTTGGGGGAGCTCACAACATCCTGGAGTAAGACCTTGGAGGGTTTCCACGGCATCCTTATATGTGTATATGTATGGCTTATGTGATTGATATAGTTTATGTGGTTATGTGGATTATGTGGGGTATGCTCTGGGGAACTCACTAAGCTTCGTGCTTACAGTTTTTGTTTATGATTTCAGGTATCATCGGTTTGGAAAGGAAGGGCCCGGCTTGATCGCAACGCACACACCCGTGTTTTCCGCAATATGTGATTTTGGGATGAATTCTGATAAATGTTTTTTTTTAATTAGTAACATTTTTTGGAATGATTGGATAAAATGGTATCTGTGCTTTGA